ATTAGCTCCTTCCACCCTAGGCCTCCGGCACTTTTTCCTCATTGGGATCATCTGCGAATGGAATGAACCGAAAGGAATTCCTGTGAGGTTCCTACTCTTAGCCTTCTTTTCTCCCAGTGCTTCGTCCTAAAAAAATCACATTAAATTTATTATAAGCTCTGGCATCTGCCTTCCTACTGAACAGATGACATTCTTACCAGGTGTATCTCTTCTCCCTAGCCATTGCAGACTTCAAGATGCTCACTGTTTCTCGAGATCTTCATCACTGCCTTTATTTCTTTACTTTTTTTCACTTTTATTTTAGGTTCAAGGTTTTTTTTTTGTTTTGTTTTTTGTTTTTTTTTTTTAATTTTTTTATTTTTATGTATGTAGTTTCAATCTTGTTGCCCAGGCTGGAGCACAGTGGCATGATCTCAGCTCACTGCAACCTCCGCCTCCCGGGTTCAAGTGATTCTCCTGCCTCAGCCTCCCGAGCAGCTGGGATTACAGGCATGCGCCACTATGCCCGGCTGCTTTTGTATTTTTAGTAGAGATGGGGTTTCTCCATGTTGGTCAGACTGGTCTCGAACTCCTGACCTCAGGTGATTCACCCACCTTGGCCTCCCAAAGTGCTGGGATTACAGGTGTGAGCCACCGCCCCTGGCTGCAGATTTGTTATATAGGTAAAATGCATGTTGCAGGGTTTGGTGTACAGATATTTTAGTCATCCAGGTAATCAGCATAGTACCTGACAGGCAGTTTTTCGATCCTCACCCTCCTCCCACCCTCCATCCTTAAGTAGACCCAGGTCTCTACTCAATTTTTAGCTCCCACTTATAAGTGGAGAGAACATGCAGTATTTAATTTTCTGTTCCTGTGTTAGTTTGCTTAGGATAATGGCCTCCAGCTCCATCTATGTTGCTGCAAAGGGCACGATCTCATTCTTTTTTTTAATATCTGTGCAGTATTCCATGGCGTACATATACCACATTTTCTTTATCTAGTCTACCATTGATAAGCATTTAGGTTTATTCCATGTCTTTGCTATCGTGAAGACCATCACTAACCTTATTAACCACATCTTCTGCTTTGTTAGAATTGAGTTCACAGAACTTTTGCTGGATATTCACAATCTTACCATATTCTATTTTTTTCCCATTTCACCTCAACTTTATTTTTTTCATTTTAACTGAAAGTTTTTGGGCAAAAATCTATAGAGCCATGATATGATAGAGTGTGTTTTGGATATCAGTTTGATTTTTTTTTTTTTTATTGTGCTTTAACCTCTGGGATACATGTGCAGAACATGCAGGTTTGTTACATACGGTATACATGTGGCATGGTGGTTTGTTGCACCTATCAATCCGTCATCTAGGTTTTAAGCCTGGCATGCATTAGATATTTGTCCTAATGTTCTCCCTTCCCTTGACCCCCACCCCAGACAGGCCCTGGTGTATGTTGTTGCCTTCCCTGTGTCCATATGTTCTCATTGTTCAACTCCCACTTATGAGTGAGAACATGCGATGTTTGGTTTTCTGTTCCTGTGTTAATTTGCTGAGGATGATGCCTTCCAGCTTCATCCGCATTCCTGCAAAGGACATGATCTCAATCTTTTTTTATGGCTGCATAGTATTCCATGGTGTGTATATGCCACGTTTTCTTTATCCAGTCTATCGTTGATGGGCATTTGGGTTTGTTCAAAGTCTTTGCTATTGTAAATGTGTTGCAATAAACATATGTGTGCATCTGTCTATAGTAGAATGATTTATATTCCTGAGGGCATATACCCAGAAATGGGATTGCTGAGTCAAATGCTATTTCTGGTTCTAGATCCTTGAGGAATTGCCACATTGCCTTCCACAATAGTTGAACTGTTTTACATTTCCACCAACAGTGTAAAAGCATTCTGATTTCTCCACAGCCTTGCCAGCATCTATTGTTTCTTGACTTTTTAATAATCGCCATTCTGAGTGGCATGAGATGGTATCTCACTGTTTGTTGATTTGCATTACCTAATGATCAGTGATGTCGAGCTTTTTTTCATATGTTTGTTGGCTGCATGAATGTCTTTTTTTGAGAAGTGTCTGTTCATATCTTTTGCCCACTTTTTGAGGGGCTATGTATTCATCTAAGAAATCTTCACCTAATCTACAGTCCAAAATCTTTTTCCTGTTTCCTTCTAAAAGTTTTGTAGTTTTAGGTTTTGCACTTTGGCCAATGATCCATTTTGAGTTTATTTTTGTATATATGTGATGTATAAATCAAAGTTCTATTTTTTTTTTCTTTTTGGTCATGGATGTTTAATTGTTCCAGCACTGTTTATTCAGAAGACCATAGATTCTCTGTATATTCACTTGCCACCTTGTCAAAAAATCAATTGATAATATACGTGTGAATCTCTTTCTTGTCTCTTAATTTTTTCCATTGATCTATATCTCTCATTTCACCCGTACTTCCCCCAGACAGCTTTGTTTTGGAAAGCAGAAAAATGTTGTATCATTTATGCAACACATGTGAGTTGCTTTAACTCCCTCAACACTGACTTCCTCAGCTTGAACGTGTGGCCACTAATACCTACCTTTTGGGATTGCCTGGGAAAGAGACAGAGTGTGGACGGAGCAACTACCTCAATACCTAGTGTATAGCAGGCTCTCAGTAAACGTCGGCAACTCACCCATTGATTCCCCCTGTTGGAAAGTTAATAACCTGGCAGAGAATTCCAGATACATCCTCTAGGAAGATCACACATCTCTGTCACATCAAGTGGTTCACTCACCCAAAGCACTTTCATGTCTCTTAAGAAGGTGGCCACAGCCAAAGCCTCTTAGTGTTCTCCCAAAGCTGAGTTAGCTCTTGTACTGCTGCATCCCCTGGCTATTCTCTTTCTTATTCAGTTTCTCATCAGAAGATCCAGGATCCCTCATTTGGGAACCAGCCTATTGCCCATCTTGACTTTAAAAGTACATAATTTCTTCCCATTTTCTTCTTTCTACCATTTCTCCCCTTTTTTTCCTGAAAACTCTGATTTCGACTTCCTTTAGCATAATTGACTTTATCTTCTTTATCTCATAAAACACAGGAAGTTATTTTGTTTCCTTTTATGGCCCAGAGATCATGATTTGATCAAAGGGCATAAATCCATTGCATGGTTACCTTAATTCTCAGGGTTCTGTACAAATTTATCTTCCCTTAACGAAGTTCGTGTTAGGAAACAAAATTGCCCCAAAGTTTGGGAACCCAGGAAGCATGGTCCAATCTTGTGTGCTTTGCAAAGGTGATTCTTAATCCTAATTTCTGTTAAGGTGAATGAAATGATACCCAGACGCTCAACCATGACAGCAAAGAGGAGGTTCCTCCTGGTGAGGGTAGGGCCAGGAACACCCATGGTGCTCACACTAGTTGTTGGTGACAGATTCTTCAGTGGTGGATCGGAATCCAGAGATGTAAAGCTCTTTTCATGGACTAGAACACTTTTAAAATTTTTGTTTATTTTTATATTTTATTTTACTCTAAGTTCCGGGATACATGTGCAGAACGTGCAGGTTTGTTACATTGGTATACATGTGCCATGGTGGTTTGCTGCACCTATCAACCCATTATCCAGGTTTTAAGCCCCTCAAGCATTAGGTATTTGTCCTAATGCTCTCCCTCCCCTTGTCCCCCTTCCCCCCAATAGGCCCCAGTGTGTGATGTTCCCCTTCCTGTGTCCATGTGTTCTCATTGTTCAACTCCCACGTATAAGTGAGAACATGCAGTGTTTGGTTTTCTGTGTCTGTGTTAGTTTGCTGAGGATGATTGCTTCCAGCTTCATCCATGTCCCTGCAAAGGACATGATCTCAATCTTTTTATGGCTGCGTAGTATTCCATGGTGTATATGTGCCACATTTTCTTTATCTAGTCTATCATTGATGGACATTTAGGTTCGTTCCAAGTCTTTGCTAATGTAAATAGTGCTGCAATAAACATACATGTGCAGATGTCTTTATAGTAGAATGATTTATAATCCTTCTGGTATATACCCAGTAATGGGATTGCTGGGTCAAATGGTATTTTTGGTTCTAGATCCTTGAGGAATAGCCACACTGTCTTGCACAATGGTTGAACTAATTCACACTCCCACCAACAGTGTAAAAGCATTCCTAGAACTCTTAAAGGTGGTCTCTAATGGTCATAGAGGTGGGGAGAGTATTTGGGAATTGCTTTGTAGATAGAAAAGTGTTTGCTTGAGATGTGACTTAAAATGTACGTGTTCCCTGCACTCAATCACCACTGTTGCATCTACCTGTAGAAAAATGTTTTTAAAAAAATGTCCTTGACCTGGATTCAAAGGACCTGGTCATTGAACCTTCTTTTGTCTATTGCTAGTTGTATGGCAAATCATTTTCTCATCACTAAAATGTTTGCTCTGTGCAACTTGTAGGTCATTGTGAGACTTGAACAAGATAATAAATATAAACCACAACTCAAAAGTAAGGCTTCACAAAGCAACTTCTGCAAACAAACAAACAAACAAATGGAACAAAAATCATACCATAAGATGCAGGATAATATAAATTTTATTAGGAAAGACCAGGTAGGGAGACAATTAAAAGTGATCATGAAAGAGTTTAGTAATCTGGCGGAGGCTACTAAATAAAATGCACATATCTAAAAAGGTGATCAGTATTGATCATTATAGAGAGTTAGATATGTAGTCTTAAGAATTTTTTTTAAGTTCCACAGGGGCAAAAGCTGATGACCACTTCCTGTGACTGAGACCATGTGTCCATGTCAATTAGGTGGAGCTGACTGACCACCATCTGGCACATTAATCCGGAGGAAATGAAGAAGAATAAAAGTGAAGTAGACAGCATACCTTCAGTAGAATCCCAAGCATGGTAGGAAGAAAATGATCACAAAGTTCAGTGTCAGAATGTTGTTTCTCAGAAAAGCTTAGGGAATGTTTCTTGGGGGCATAGGAATTTTGACAGAATGTTTCAGGAAATATGTCTCTGGTGGGTGGTGGGTCTGCAGCAAGTGGATCAGCAGCAGGAAGGCTGGCAGCAGCTGGAGACACAGCAAGGACTGCAGCAACAGCTGGGGCGGCAACAGGTGGTCCTGCAGCAGGTGGTCTGGCAGCAGGTGGGACGGCAGCAAGGCAGACAACAGCTGGACTCGTTGCAAGTTTGGCTACAGCAGCTGGACCCACCGCAGGTTGGCTGACAACAGGGTGTGCTGAAGCAGCTGGTCACACAGGATGGTTGGCAGCAGGTGGGCTGGCAGCAGGTGGTTCTACAAGTGGTTTGACAGCATGTTGGGCGGCAGCAAGGCTGGCAGCAGCTCGACCCACAGGTGGGCTGACAGCAGGTGGTCCTGCAGCAGGTGGTTTGACAGCAAGTTGGGCGGCAGCAAGATTGGCAGCAGCTGGACCCACAGGTAGGCTGGTAGCAGCTGGACCCACAGCAGGTGGGCTGGCAAGAGGTGTTCCTGCAGCAGGTGGTCCTGCAACAGGTAGTTTGATAGCAAGTCGGGTGGCAGCAAGGCTGACAGCAACTGGATCCACAAATAGGCTGACAGCAGCTGGACCCACAGCTGGTTTGGCCACAGTAGCTGGGCCCACAGCAGGAGGGCTGGCAGCAGCTGGTCACACAGGTGGGCTGGCAGCAGGTGTTTTGACAGCAAGTTGGGCGGCAGCAAGGCTGGCAGCAGCTGGACACACAGCAGGAGGGCTGGCAGCAGGGTGTGCTGCTGCAGGTGGTCACAGTGGTGGGCTTCCAGCAGGTGGTCCTGCAGCACACAGGCTGACAGCAAGAGGAACAGCAGTGGGTCATGGTGTCAGGGATGGAGGGTGGGCTCCTGTTCAGAGGTGAGTTTCCAAGAATCTGATGACCCCTTCTAATATCTGGACCTTTTATACACTGGTTCCCAAATTTGGAACCAATGAGCAGAATTTTCCTTGTTATTATTTATGACATTATTTTTCATCACCTATAGGGAATTGCCCAGGGAGGAAGTGTTCCTTAAGTGCTATGAATCTTCTGAAAATAAATGATTATTCTACTTAATAGATAACCCATAAGAACTTGTTTCCAGAAGTGAGAGAGGTGATCAACATCAATAGCACCATTTAACTAAAGTATATATTTTTATTTATTATCATTTTATTGTTGCTATTACTTTAGAGACAAGGTTTTGCCCTGTCACTCAGACTGGTGTGCAGTGGCGCGATCACAGCTCACTGTGGCCTTGAACTCCTGAAATCAAGCGATCCTCCCAGAGTGATGGGATTACAGGCATGAGCTGCTGTGCCTCCCCTGAATTACCATTCTTTAAGACAGAGTACGTTGACTGATCCCCTGACAACTGAAACTAACTTGAAGCGGCCAGAACCATTGTCACCACCTACGTTTTCCCCTGCAGCACTAGAACATGGTGATTAACTCAAGGTGACAAATGTAAACCATATTTTAAAATATTTTGAGTTAAAATTTATTTTTCATCAAATTTTTCATCTGTGTCACACAAACACAGATTCAATGATGCTAATTCTAACAGTAACAGCAACTCCACTTTGGTACCTCAATTCCTGCAACAGGGAACTGGGCTCAATTGTAATTGACATAATCTTTTCCATGCTGACCTCCACATCTGTTGATGGCCCTGAGTACAAACATGCCTGGGTAACATGCTTGGGTAACATGCCTGGGTAACATGCCTGAGTACATGATATTTATGTTTAGTGGTGCAAATAAAAGTTTAAAAGCAGTTAGTCAGAAAATTGAAATATTTTGCTTTGAATTGCAGTTTAAAAATACACACACCATTGTGTGTTTTAAATGCAGGAACAAACAGGACGAGAATGACTCCATCATGTGTATTAATGGGGAAAAGACAGAATAAGTTGTATAATGTTTTGGATGCTTAGCAATTTCCATATCTGGCTAATCTTTTGAAATAAAGAGTTTCTTATTTTCACTGGCAACAAAATAGTCCTTTGATACAGCTTGATTTGCTCTGACTTAAATTGTGGCTAAAAATTTCTGCCATCTCTGCTGCTGAGGCATCCTGACTTTAGCTGCGAAGGTGGACACAGCCCCCGTTTGCTGGTCCAGCATATGGGTAATGGCATTGCCAGTTCATCCTGTAAAAGGATCTGGTGCAGTTCATTGAGTCAGAATGAAGTTATAGTGAAGGAGGGGATGGGGTGGAGTATTCTTCACTTGTGTCTCCATCCTGAGAATGGGTTTGACACATAGTTGGAACCAAAACATGATTATTGAATGAACAACTTTACATTCACTAGCCTGATTTTTTTTTTTTTTTTTTTGAGATGAAGTCTTACTCTGTTGCCCAGGCTGGAGTGCAGGGGCGTGATCTTGGCTGACTGCAATCTCCGCCTCCCGGGTTCAAGTGATCCTCCTGCCTCAGCCTCCTGAGTAGCTGGGACTACAGGCATGTGACACCACTCCCAGCAGCTAATTTTTTGTATTTTTAGTAGAGATGGACTTTCACCATGTTGGCCAGGCTGGTCTTGAACTCCTGACCTCAGGGGATTCACCCACCTCAGCCTCCCGAAGTGCTGGGATTACAGGCATGAGCCACTACACCCAGCCCTAGCTTGAAAATTTGGACTAACAACCATTTGCCATAGGAGTGGAGAATTAGGGCATTGGTTTGGAAAAGAAACAAAATGAATAATTCTATTCTGAACAAGTTAAATTTGAAGCCACGTGCCTTAAATGTTTTTTAGCTTCTTCATAATTTACAAGTGTGCTATGCTGATTTCATTAGCAGCTATTTGCTATAACGTATCAGGGTCTAATTTTTTGGGTATTAACATATCCATGTTTACATCTATTTTAAGTACTGTCCAAATTGAAGGGACTGTGGCTGTGCAGCTCATTCAGGAGCAGGAAACTAAATGGTTGGAACACAAAAGAATGACTCGTCCTATGCTCAGAATATCAAATGACACACTCTGAAAAGTATAAGAAGGAATGGATGAGATGATGTTAAAACAAAAAAGGAAGAAAAAATGGTGCTTTTAGGGACAAATAACTGATTAAACGGAAATTACCTTTGCACCCATTTTAAAAACCAAGGCTAACTGCTACAATGTCATACTTCAATCAGAGTGTCTGATAATTTCTCTTTAGGTAAGATAAACAATAGCAAGAAAATAACCCAGGTTTTTTGGCAAGCCTTCAGCAGGGTAGAGAAGGAAACTTGGAAAGAAGAAGGCTTAGGAACTTTGGTACCTTAGGCTACTGAAAACCCACATCCAGAACGTCCACCTTCTGACATCATGGTCAGCTCCTGCTGCAGCTCCTTCTGCTCTCACCAGAGGCGTGGTTAAGACCTCTGCCAGAGATCTGCTGCCATCCCAGCTGCTGCCAGAGCACCTGCTGCAAGACCATTTGCTGCTGCTGCAGCTTCTGTGGGTTCAGTTGCTACCATCCAGTCTGCTGTCACACCACCAATCTCCTGTGGATCCTGTTGTTGAATTTCACTCCTGACCACCAGCCTGAGTCAACCACCATGTTGAAAACATAGTCCTTTTAAGGAGAAGGTTATCTCTAAGCTGTCTCCCCTGCCTTCAGACAGAGAGGGCTAACTATCTCTAAACAAACAAATGACCATAGAACTGTGGCTCAGTTAGACCAGAATCCCAAGCCTATGATACCTGCACTTGTTTTGACCTTGACAGTGACTTCCTTATGATACATTAATTAGGTCTGCAAAAACATTAATATTCTTGTTGGCATAAACAGTTGGGCCACATTCAAACTAAGTACAAAAATCCTGTTATAAATAGGAAAATGATAAAACCACAATCATAGCAGAGGAGCTTTAACCGCTATTTTCAAAATGGTCATTTGAAGAAGAAAAGTAAACAAGATATGGAAGAATTTGAGTAAAATCATTAATAACTTAGATGGAATGGATATTTTTTTTTTTTTTATACCATCTTATATGCCTAACAAATAGAATTTTTATAATTTTTATATTGCCGCAGTCATAAAATAGTCCATAAAATATTATTTTCTAAATATGTTCTGGTTTCTTTCTTCATCCCTCTTCCCTCCCTTCCTGGATAATTTCGGTCTTAAATGGAAAGTAGGTGTTGTCATGGGGATGAGGGATGGCTAAAGAAATACCATTCTTATTTCTTTGTTATAAAATAACATCATTTTGCCACTACAGGAATTGCCAAGAATGTCACCAAGAGGTTTCTTGGTGATAAAAGAAAGTGGATGCTTCACTGCCCCTTTTAACAATGGAGGGTGTGTGGTTCCTAATCAATGGGGCTTTCCCTTTCTATAACCCCAATAGATTTAAAAATCAGGCTTATTTGCACCACAGATGTTGCAAAGAATACCGCGTGAACTTATTCGTTGGCAGCATATGTATATGGTGCATGTGTTGCAAACATCTTCTAGAAGGGAACGCTCAATCAAACACATGCACATTTCAGAAATATGGTAAAATTAATTCAAAGATACTGTGTAAAATTCAGATTCGGTTAATTACCATCTAAAGAGTTTGCCTTCGATTTAAGTCCCTGCCACGTGGTATTAAGAATGTCAACTTTCCCTTATTAATTTTACTAATATTTATTGGAAGTTTTTAACTAGAATATTTTACATTTGTCATCGCAAAATAGCAATGTAAGTTCATGCCATATTCCAGGAACATGCAGTGTAGAAGCTGGCACGACA